GGAACAGAGCTCTCGCGCCGGGCCCAGAGGCGGTCGTCGCGCCCGGCGAGCGGTGGCCCGGTGCTGAGGACGGGGAAGGCGGTGGGGGACGAGCACGCGGTGCAGCGGCCCCACGCGGCCGCGCGTCACGTGCACGCCCGTGCGTCCGCTGGCCGCGGAAAAACGCTTCAGACGGCCGGGCCGAGTGCGGTGGGACGTTTGTAAGCGTGAGTGCTTCGGACGGGACGAGCTTTATTCCGACGCGGACCTGGAAGCCTCCTAGACACGTAAGTGGCAGCCTACCAGCGGGTAGGGTAGGTCGTTGACCCGGGCGCTCAGCTGACTGCCGGTCCGCGTTACTCAGTCGCAAAGCGAACTCTCTAGTAAATGGCGAAAACGCGGGGAGCTGTTTGGCCGGCTGAAACAATATTAAATATTAAAAATCCTATTGCTGGAGTTTATTATTGTTGTTGCGGTAGATAATTTTTGTGGTTATTATTTCTTAACTCATTCTCTGGAATACCACGAGACATCTGCTACAATTGCGGAATTCGTTGAAATACTGTTACCAAAGTGAAAAAAGTCCGATCCGAAATGGCACAACAAGCTCAGTGGCTACCTTGAAAATGCGGTGTCAAGGATCAAATAGTTGTTTTTTGCAACGGGTGTTTTCACAACTAAAATGTATACTGGACTTACGTGAAGACATAAAAAGTCAAGTTTGTACATCCTATGCATTGCGTGTAATTAGATACAAAGAAATGGTATATAATATTCCAATTTCTTAGTCATTCCAAAAACACAACCATGAGCAAATGCCATGTATTGCGAATATCAACAGGGAAAATATTATTACAATTTTCTTCTTGCTTAATAAAGTTTATGTTAATATATATATTTACGAATTATAAGGTTGCAGTTTTCTTAATACAAACTAACATTATGTTATTAATGGAAGAAATCTGATTGCGTATGTATTTTATAATACATATCCAATACATTGAATTCAAAATTTTGTACACACTGACTCCCTTTGTATTCAAATACTCGGCCTCTCCAGTTCCCTTCATCCGGGCGGCAACGTGGACGATTCTCACGTGTCACCGACTGCGAAGAGCTTACGTTTATCCTCGCCCCATACGCCTCACGGAACCATTATGTGGCCCAGCACGTGACGTAAGCACCGCGGTACAGTCTCCCTCAGCTTCTCAAGGTGAGCGGGGAGCGGGGCGGCCGTGGAGCAGGTTGGCGAGCAGTCAACGCCCGGCTGCCCCCCGGCGCCTGAGCCCCTGACGCAAAGCGTCTCCGCCAGGGGAGAGCGTCACCTGGGCGGAGTGCGTCGCGGGGTATGTCATTGCATAACGCAAAAAAAAAACACGTGCCGGGATGTGAAGGAATGCTTTTTGTAGTCATTTGTATGATTTATTACGTCATAAGTCAGTTTTTGTTTATTTTTGTGATTTCCATGTGTAATCTCATTCTCCATATTTATTAGCATTGTTTGAGGCATATGTATCATGTGTCAAACGATTATATAGTATATTTGGAACAAAAAATAACAATATTTGTGATCTATAAACGAATTAAGATGTTTTTGTCACAACTGAAAGTTTCTGTTCACATTATTAACTTGTCTCTAAAATAAACTATTCATTTAGTAATAGAAACATATTTTCGTAATCACACGGCTTATTCCAAAGCTTATCCGTTGGTCTGTTTGTATGTCTTTCCATCCGTTTGTCCGTCTCTCCGTCCGCCTATCCGTCCACCTATCCGTCAGCCTATCCGTCAGCCTATCCGTCAGCCTATCCGTCAGCCTATCTGTCAGCCTGTCAGTCTATCTGTCAGTCTATCCGTCCGTCCGTCTTGTCTTGTCTTGTCTGTGGTCCAGGCTAGTGCTAAATCGTGCAGACAATTTTCTTCAGAATGGATATTCTAATCCAAGTGATTCAGCCCTGAGGGGCTGAAACGGATATTTTGGTTTTTGGAGGTACTTTGTATAAACACTTAAAAACATTTTCAAAATTTTATTAGAAATTACATCCATTTTCTTGAAATTTTTCTTCAGATACACCTATGAACGCTTAAAAATGGCTCATGTCTGATTTTTGTTGAACTCATAGAATTTTTGAAAATTGCAGAAGCTAGAACTAATTCGCAAAACTAGACCTATGTCGAATAAATGGGGTTGTAGAATGATTAGTTTTCATGTATTTCATAAAACATTATCTTCAGCAAAAAACACGGAATATTCGGTAATTAAATTTTCAAACATTTTCTATTTTTGTGCACACAGTTTGTAAGGAATATCAGATATATATTTAACAGCGCGTTTTCCTCTACACCAGAAAGAATTTAATGAGAATTATTCCCTGGTAATTGCAACCTGCCAAACAGATTAGTAAGTCAGAGTGACTACTCCGGCATCTATGATACATGAGTGCTAATTATGGAAGTGTTAGTGACCAATATAAAAAATATTCTATCGATTTAATTCAAAATTTCTGTGTTACTAAAAATATCTTCATCTGAAATACCCTTAAAACTCAATTGTTCATTTCAAACTCAGAAGAAATCGAGTTCACTTAAATCGGTTGAGTATGGGCGAGGAAGTAAACATTGCGAATCGCCCGTGCGTTTTGACCGACGCTAGTGGCTGAACTGCAAGCAATTGGTCCCAGAATTTGTATTGGGTCAATATAGGTAATGTTGCGGCCCCTTGTATTTGAGACTGATGTTTTAAATTTTGGTTGCACTTTACACGAAGCCTAAAGGATAATTTCAAAAGTTTTTCAAAAACGGTTCCAAATTTTTCCATTTAATTACTTCATTCAATAAAGCAAAATAAGCTTACAATATTCGATTGCTTTTGAATTATCGAAAATTGAAAATTTGAATGATCGAAAATTGTAAAAGTTCAAATTTTCCGGGTCTTCATACAATATCAAAAATAAAGACATTTTTTCATGGAGGAAATCTGAGTTTCAAAGATAGATCCATCAGAAAGATCATGTAAGTTTTACCGGGAGAGGTGTCTCAGCGCATCAATTGATGTCACTGCAGTGCCTCTGACCGGCAAATCCTAGGTTCCGGTCCCGACGATGGCAGAATTTTTGACAGTAGCCAGATAGATAGGTCGAATTCAATTGCTGTTTGGAGGAGAGTTCTATCGGTCGGCTGCTCTGATCGGTAGTTTTCCGTGGTTTCTCCGACCAATACCAGGCGAATGCCGGAGCAGTGTCCTAACAAAACAGGCCACGGACCACCCGCTGGCTCCTTACCCACTGGCCGACGCCGGATGTCACCATCCAACGGGAAAGATCCCCGCCACCTTCCAATGAGAAAAAAAGCACAACACTTACGGAACTAATGACTTTAGAAGTTGATACGACTAGAAACCCTAATCAAATATTCAATTGTGAATATTTTCTTTTCAAAATATAATTAGTTATCATGGAATTTTGTGCTAAATAAAAGCAATTTCAAAAATATTTTCTCGAAAAAAGCTCCAAATTTCTTTTTTTTTGGAAAGTGTGAAGTTCGTTTATATAAATAGAGGAGGTCCAATTTTCTTTGGACACTCTGAATTTCTGAGAATCACAAAAAGTGACAATGCAAGAAGATATGTGCTCTTGTGACGCCATGAGTTTTAATGTCATGATTGCACACAAAAGACCCACAGTCCTTTTTTATAACAAATGTACATGGCATTATTTAAACAAATGTTTAAAAAAATCGTATTTCATTTAGAAAAAACTCCCCATTTTCAGATATAGTCGTAGGTCATACCTTTAATATTTTTAATTTTCAAAATTTGGGATGTTTCACTGACAATCGGTTCTTTGATTTTTATAAGCATTCTTTTTTCTATTTGAGAAAACAATTTTCTTTTAAAATTCGAGCCATTTTTTAAAAATTTTGAATAGGAGTGTCATGTGAATTTTCTATAACGTTGATCAAAAAGTTAAAAAGTTCCACCTCAAATGGAAGCAGCCGCCCCATCATTAAGACAAACTGGTGAATATGATGGCTTATAATCTTATGTACACATTCAGAGCAAACCTATCGCAGTTTTTAAACTTTCCGAGTTTTTATTGGAAATAGGACCCATGTCAAATTATTATGCGTACTTCACTCTTTTTGTGTAAATAATGTTAAAAAAACAATTGGGATCTTTTTAAGAAAATTTTGACGTCCCGTATTGCAATTGTGCTTCGGTTTTGTTGTAATACTTTCACGTGAAATTATGCTAAAAATAACTATCGTCAAGGTTCATTTTCAACACTAAGCGACTTTTACACTTCTAACTTAACATTTTCTAGATCAATAAAGGTATTAGTAAATGATAAGTGTATACATTGTATTGAATTGTGTCAAAGAAATAAACGTCAGATATGATTTTAAAGAGATTATTATATGACTTGTGTACAATATCTGTGGTTGTTAATTTATATTTTACTGTAGGATAAATGCAATGTTTCAAGGGTAATACACGCAACTGTGTAATCTCATAAACCTCAGCGCAGCATTACAAGTGTGTTGGCAGAATACATGTCATAGCAATAAAACTGATGCATTCTGATGACATTTTATAAATTAATTTCTTTCAGCCTCTCTAAGAATCAAATACAAGTTCTCTATATTTAATTAAGCTATCTTTATTCATGTTAGAGCCAGTTAAAGATCTCATGCAAATCTCAATTCTTTCTCTTCCCAACTCATTTATTTTATTTACACTTTCACTTCATCGTATATTTAGCATATATTGAGTTACGTAATGCTGCAAAAACTCAATATTAAAATTTTGACGGAAATATTTTCCAAATTGACAAATATAATTATTATTTTCAAAATGACAATTTGTCAGTCACGCTTCTGTTCTTTTGTAAAGTTATAAAACGTCTGTCTGCGCCTAAGTGGTACGCATGGTTTGATATCTATACTGTCCTTGTTGATATTGGTCTCGTGGAAGTTAGGATTGCTGTTATCGTAGTCACCGTCTTCGTCGCATTTTGTGGCGAAAGCAGTTGCCTCGCCTGCCGACGAAAATCGCTAGAAGAGAAATCCCTGGCGTGCAGGTACCCCGCTTTCGCAAAAATCGTTGCTCACCCCCACCCTCTCCTTCCCGGCCTCACTGAAATCATTTCCGCGTCCGGAACGGGTTCTTCCAATGGGAAACCGCACTGCATCGGAGCTGTCGTAAAAGTCTCTATGACACCGCGGCTTATTACGCTATGCGAGAAATTCGAATGGTTCTGAGAGTGGATTACGATTCCTCCGAGACCAT